TATCTTGCTGATTCCGCGTGTTGTGTACTTCTGTTTTACCTTCCAATTTCTTATAAATTCTTATAAAGTCGAATGATGACACATGTGTTTTTCTATGCTTCCACACTGTCTTTCCTCTGTGTAATTGGTTTAGCTTTTTTGCTAGTAAAAGACTATATTTGCCCAATGACTATATTTCCCCAATGATGCTCACTGACTATAGTCAACGTCTGACACTCGCTGTATATGTACTACTGGCGAGTTTAATCACCCAATAAAATTTTGCATTTATTTTCAACCCTTTCCAAGTACTTCTTCCAGGCACAGACAATATTTGATGATGTAGGGAGAGAGATAAAAGTATTGTTAATAAATTCTATTGAATAACATATTTTATTACATAATCAGTCAGTATACTGCCGTTCCTCCGATTGAACGAATCAAAAAATACCCCGTTATGCATCATGTTAAACAATATGATAGAAAGTAAATTATTTGAATGATGAATTTGTTGTCGATCGATATAAAAATAATTTGGACAGCAACTGTTTTGAGACGTCAGGCATTGATTCTATACGATAATGACGTTACTTTTAAACATAAAGAAGCAATAAGACTTCACAGTTTAATCATTTCAGTGACAGTGAGGAAGATAAAGGTAACATTATTCATGGTGGAAATTGTCTGTTTAACAACAAATCCCTGAGAAAGACAGCATTCCCGAACGGTTTGATTTTTCAACTGGCAAAACACTTTTGATTATTTTATACAAACGAATTGTTGTGAGACGTACATTGTTGCCTGTTGCTTTAAAACTTACCACACACGGGGAAATTTGGCAACGACTGGCAACACGATTCACTGTTATAAACAATAATTCAACATTACGAACGGAACCGTTCACGAAACGCTTGCTTGTTACGAATAAATAATTTATTAGACGCGCATGAGAAGCCAAAAGAGTATGGAGTTGCGCTGCTTGAGAAAAAGTTGGAGTGCAGATGGTTAACTTTGGTAGAAAATGAGTGTAGAGAATTGCTCTGCATTACGCGAAGGATCAAGCTGTAGGTGAAGCTGGTTACAGTTTAACTGTTTCTGAATTTTCGAGAGGCGTGTGTACGATATCGCTTCCGCGGATGAGAATAACGTTCCTCGCCGAGTCTCGCGTTCGAGTCACGACCACCTGTTGTTTGTTGCAAAGCGTTTAGGTTGCAAAAACGGAAGACCTCGTCGCCTCTGTTCCGCAAGACGAGTACGTCCAAGGCTCGATATTTCCTCGGCAAAGATTGACGTGGTTGGTTTTCTGTCAAACTTCTGTCGAAAATATAGAAAGAAAATATAAACGAGAGAGAGGAAGAGATTCTAACTCTATGGGCGAAATAGGGCGAATTCGAAGTTTTGAACGTTTGTTTAATATCTCGCGCACCGAGGTAAAATTGGAGAACGGGACCTCGAGGGAACGCTCGAACGAAAATGTAAAATGAAATTCCACGGGGTATAAATGGGCTGGAGATTTCGAGCTGGAAGAATCTCTCTCGCTTAGTAGAGTCTAGATTCTGTTTCGTCCTACCGATCGTTTCTCGATTGTCACACTGTCGAACAAGTTCATCGATTGCCGTGACGCGAGACAGAAAACGGGGGAATTTTCGACGAAACGAGTGCGTCGAATTAAGCATTAATAGGTCTACAATTTCGTTCTGAAGTTTCATTTGAACTTGTAATCAGAGATTATCTTTCGTAACTTTACGATGACAGTAATTCGACGTAATAAAAAGTAAGATGTTGAATGAAAACGAAAATTGAAGTTGATATTTGTAAAGCAAACTCCTTTCTGTATACTTAGTATTTCTGACAAATATTAAAACGTCTCTGATGATAATGCTTTCTTGAAATTGTTTGAAAAACCTTCCTCGAAATGTGTGTTGACTTTCTTATAAAAAGAAGAAAGACTCGCTTTCGAAATTTTCTTAGAAAATCACTGTTGGCTTCGCATCTAAGGGACAAATACTGACCGAAGTTTATGCAGTTTGAGAAAAAGGAGATGTGAAGATAATTACTAAAATTAGAAAATTCAAAAAGAAATTAAGGGATGAAAAAGAATCAAAGAAAATGGGGGGGAGGGAGGAGGAGAATCGAAAATGAAAGAAGAAAGAAGCGAGAACGACGTTGCGTGTACGTACGATGGAAAGAAACGGAGAGGATAGTTGAAGCAAGATCGTAAACTTTATTCCAGCCGGGCCGTGCCAAATAATCTGGACCGAGTCATAACTCAAAAGCGTGAGTTACGGCGCGTCCGTGGCCGGGCAGCGGCGATTTTTCCCCGTGAAAATTTTATTGCTCGGCCGCGCGCGTGCACCGCGTACGAACGTGCCACGCAAATTATTACGTTTGATATATCGCGGTGAAATTCTCTGTCGAAACGTTGGTCCGAGTCGGATGGACCCCGGTTTTCTCTCACTTCTCGCACGTTTGCCGGACCGATAAACGGACGATTTAACTCTCTCTTTCATTGTCTGAACAGAAAACGCGAGAACGAAAAAGAAAAAAAAAAAAAGAAAAATTGAAACACCTGGTTTGACCAGACGAAGAGACGAAGGCGGGAGACGAGTTTCGACTTCCGCGAGTGCTACGATTTAACGTCGAGGTAAAAATTACGTCAGTCGGACGACGACGAGCCTGATTTCCTTTGTACAACCGACAGAGCTTGTCCAGCGGCGCATGAAAAGCGAGTGGGCAGTCTCTCTCGCTTCCTGGGCCACCGCGGCAGCTCGAGCTTCCTATTGTCACAGCTAATTAACGATAAGTTCTCGTCTCGAGTCGATCCTTTCACGAGTCACCCGGATACCCTGTAAAACGCGGCTCTAACACTGATTCCTTGATAACCTTCTTTATATGAGTGTGCGTCTCTACCGTGTGCCTTTAGAGTGTCGATGTATGTACGTTCACGGGGGTGTCTGTCACGGTTCGGGGTTGTGTACGTCGCTCGCCGAGCACGAGACGCGCGAAAGACGGCGACTCTCGGCCGTGGAGTTCGCCGAGGACGGAACGATGCAGATTTCTCGCGGCGAAATTCGGGAAAAGAAACATTTGTGCTCTCGAGTACAAATTGCCGGATCGTGAAGCGAACGTGCAGTTAATCGACGAGATTATTTTCCAAGTTGATCTGCATCGTTCCGTCACACGCCCGCTTATTATACGCTTACGCGTATGTAACTCGTAATTCTAAACGCTAGATCAACTGGTTTCCTTCGCCACGCTCGCCAGAGACGCGACGAAGATTGTTCTATCGAAGTACGATCGATTCGCTTAGTTCCCCTGAGATGGTCAAGCTCGGAGGCGAGACGTTTGCACGAGAATCTCTGCGAAAAGGAATTTCTGTAAAATTTCGTTGAACCTAGCAAGTCACGGTGACAGTTCTGCCGGACGATTCCACGATTTCAAGGTTTTAAGGACTCGATCGAACTTTCGAAGACTCGATTGAACTCGAATAACGGTGATGCGATGAGACGCGATGTGAGCGACACCCTTAAAAAATACGCATTTAATTTTCGTGTGTACAGCGCGTGCGTTTCGATCAACTCTCGTCTATCTTACGTATATCCGACTGTGTATATGTATCTTCTTTATATATAATCGCGCGCGCGCGCGTGTGTGTATATGTGTGTTCGTATGTCCTCTGCCAAAAGTTGCTGTTTACGAATTTATACATACATATATACGTGTATTCAACATTCGCGTCTGTACATCGGGCTGGGCGAGACGGCTAGGCCGGCTCCCTCGCGTAATCTCGCACACACAGTTCACCAGTCTTAAACACCGAGTTAACGTTATTATCGCTACGGCAGAATTGCTATAACCTTCTCGCCGGAACTTTCCAGACGGGATGGAGAGTTCGTTTCTTGCGAAACCGACGAACAGTAAACTTTAATAACGATATAATTGGTTAGCCTAAAGAGGAAGTGACCAGGAGGTGGGGGGGGGGGGAGGGTTGGAAGTTGAGGGATGACGCGAAGAATGGGGAGAACGGGTGAACAGGACGAAGGATGATGCGTGTGAGCTTGAGCAGATATCGAACGAGCCGCCTCTGAGAGTCGGCTCGTAAAACCCCGGGCTGTGTGTTCTCGTTTCTTCTTCTCCTTCTTCTTCTTCTTCTTTGTATCGTGTTCTCGCTTGCGAGCCAGACTTCTACCTCTGGCACTTTGCGCTCTTTTCGTCTTTCAGCGGAAACGAGTTCGTATTCTACGCATTTGCATCTCTTACTTTTAAGGTACCGAGTGTACGATGAAAGACGTACATTTCTAACCACTCCCGAAAGAGTTTGTCTTTGTTAACAAAAGAATATTCTCGAGGCTTAAAGTCGGTGGTACTTTGTTCGGTGTTTCACTCCCTCTCTCTCTCTCTCTCTCTCTCTATCTCTCTCTCTCGCTTTTACATTCTCCTCCGTAATTTCTTTCCGTTCCTCACACTGCGACACACACTATGTACATACACTCTTCCTCTCGAGATTGTCTCGTCAAGATGTAGCCGCGGTCTATCAAACGCATAACTTTGACAAAGTTGACCACCGTGACCGACCGACGAGCGAGCAAAGTTACGCGCCCCCGTTCCAGGAATGTTCCCAATTTCCGGGCAGTAGTCGTAGGGACGGAGCGTAAACGACGAGCGGGCCGATCAGCTCCGATCGGAATCGGACTCTGGGGCCGGTTTTCAAAATTCCGGCTGCGTTTGCCGGCCACCGCTTGTTCGTTCCCCCCTGTTTCCGTAAGCTCCCCGAAAATTCGATTCCTCTGGCCGACAGTTGCGCGACCGTTCGCGTGGCCCTCGGTTCCGGGGGAATTCCATCGCCAGGATCCTCTCTCCGAGCGTTCGAAAATTCTCCACGATCGCCTCCACCGATTCGTAACGATCGTTCTGCCGACGCTCGAAAATCGCCAACTTGCTCGAGTTCGGCTCGATTGGAATTTCGTGAATTCTCCGAAAATTCTCAAAAAGAACTGGAGATCTCTCCGATTTCCCGCCGAAGTTCAACGCCGAAGACGTCGGGAATCGCCGACGAAGATCACCACGTTCGCTTTTCGGGGAATATTTGATTAGCAACGCTGTTCTTCGAACTGGGTGCACTGGCTCTGACAAGAAATTATTATCCGTATAGTAGATTCGGGACATCCGGGAACAGCCTCGCACCTGATTAATCCATTACGTCCCCGTTGCTCCCTTTGTTCCTGTTCAACCGGCACTTTGGCCGCGCGACGTCTGATATCTATTCTCTCGGATGACGACGACAACGACGACGACGACGGAGACGGTTTCTTGTTCCGCCGATCCGTGTTCGAGCCTTGTTTTCCTAGGATTAATTTGTCCGAATATACTCGACGAATGTTCTCCTCGTTTTATGCGCGTGTTGGATCTCCTCTCTCTCTCTCTCTCTCTCTCTCTATCTCTCTAGCTCTCTCTATGAAAACGAGATAATTAGATTCGATGTCATCGCTTGCATCAAACACGATTCGATCCGCCCTCCGCCGATTCGTCGAGCAACCAGCGATCTCTGGAATTCCGTGTCCGATCCTCTTCCTTTTTAGACGTCCATCGCGTCGCCAACGTATCCCTCGTCGGGGCTCTCCGGGTGGTGAGGCGGTTGAAGATCCTCCGCCCTGGCGGCGGCTGCCGCCGCAGCTTCCCGAGCGGTTTTGCTCAACAGCGATCTAGGCGAGAGCGGCGTAGTCTCGCCTCTGTACGCTGCAGGTGGCGATGGAATGAACGGCACCTCGGGGAACACGGCGACCGGTGACACGGGAGAAACGGGCATCTGCTGTTGCTGTTGCTGCTGCTGTTGCATCGATGGTTGTTGTTGCTCGACCGGTTGTTGAATCGGTTGAATCGGCTGAATCGGCTGTTGAGCCGGATAAGGGTATCCCTCGGCGGTGTACCTGGTGTCGGTTCTAGGTAGAACCGGGTCGTATCCCGGCGATCTGGCGAGGAACTCGGCCTCTCTGGAATATCTGGCCGGTGGCGCGACTGCCGAGCCTTCCACCGGCATCCTCTGCCTGAGACGCGGCAGCGTGCTCGCCGCGCTGAACGGTATCTTCGGCAGGCCAAAGTTCAACGGGTAGCCGTCCTGATCGAGATAGCTGAGCTGCGGTATGTTCGCCGGGCGTAGGTCCGGTTGCAACGGGTATCCAGAGTCGTATTCCAGGATCTGTCTCTCGCCGGGTTGGTGCCGATACAGCTGACCATAACCGACGTCCGTCGTTTCCGGCACCTCGTTGATCAGGTCTGGTTCGGTGAGATACTTGGACACCGGGCTGCAGTACGGCTCCTCGAGGCTACGGTGCTCCCTGCGCTCGAGCGTCGCTGCGCGATTCATCTCTCGCTCGGTGTACGAGACGATCTGCTGGTGCTCGAGACCGATCAGGCTCCCGTTGCCCTTTCTGCACGGCAGGCTGGTGGTGGTGTCCTTGGTGATGGGCATGACCGACTTGTTCTGCGACACCAGGGCCTTCGAGTTTCTCTTGCGGTCGCGGCGACGCTTCCGCACACAGAACACTATGCTGCCGATTAGGGAGCCGAGGGCAAACAGGGTGCCCACCAGAGCGCCCGCAGCCACCGCCACCACGTATCCGGACCTCGAGTGGTCGTTGGGCGGCTCCACCGTTATCTTCTCCTGGAACTGCACTCGCAGTGACAGGTTCGCCTCCGCGGAACCGGCGCCATTCTCCGCCAAGCACGTGTACGTCCCCTCGTTCGAACTGTCCACGGAGTGGAGCAGCAGGGTGCTCGTCATGTTGATCCCGCCGCGCTGCCTCAACACGTACCTGCAACATAATCGCGAAACTCTGTTTTTTCAAGATTTTGTTACCTCTCTGTTCGGTTGGCCGACGAGTCTGTTGCGAATTTTTTTGTTTTTCCCGACAGACGTTGCAAAAGTAATCGTCACTCTGAATTTGACACCTCGAGCTTACATTTTTTTGAAAACAATTGCGCGCGAATTGGCCAGGCAATTGTTGACTTGAAAATGGAAAGTCAAAACGAGTATTTCGTTGTTTTATTTTTAAAAAGGGGGAAAAAGTTTTATTTTTAAAAAGCGATGCAAGCGTAAAAATATTCGTGATGTGAAGACAACTTCTACAATACAGTTTTTATGACAGTATAAAAATATTATATAATTGTCAAGAAAAGTGTCTAGAGTTTAAGATGCGTTTACAGAACAAACCGATAAACTTAATTTTAAGGTATTACTTTAATAATCTTTCAATGACGTCAGAAATTAACTTGAAATAAAACATTTCGTTCCAAATATTTTTAGTATTATGTGCTAAATAATAATAAATAGTATTGAATAACAATAAGTTTTGGTTTACGTGCTAAATAATAATAAATAATATCGAATAACAATAATTCATTATGCACATTCCATGTAATACTATACTTCTCTCGTGTCATGTAAATCACATGATATCATCCAATAATACTAAATACTAATAAATAGCACTTACTTTGACGTTATTTTGGTGACAAATTTCACAGCATCTTATCAAGGTGTCAGTATACGACTTTGTGACAAATTTTAATTCCAACAATTCGTTTCACAATGAAAATTCCAAACGGCTTGAATTGAAAGTTCACTGCGGGCCGAATACGTTCTACGCGTGTTGATACGAAAAAGTTTCACGTTATTTACTTGGAAAAAGCCGCACAGACTTATTGGCCAACCCAATACCTCTCGTGCGTCGTGCATTTCTACAAGTGACGAGAGAAGGAGGAGGAGGAGAATTAGAATGTAATCGCGAAAATGGAGGTTAACATTTCAGAAATCAGAAATCAGGGACATTCTTTGCCTTCCGCTGGAATCTCGAGGCGTAGAGCGTTTTTTTTTTTTTTTTTATCCGCCTGCGAAATCTCGCGCGAGTCGTCACGGCACGCGCTCGATTCGATACGAGCGCTCTTGAGAAGCTCGACGCGACGAAAAGGCCCAGCTCTTCTCTCTCCTCGTTCCTCGATCTTTCTCATTTTTGCACTGTCGCGCGAAACGTTGATTATTAACGAGACACGAGGAGTTTCATTAAGGCGCGTTATTGGACAGTGACTCGCCGTGACCCGAGAGAAGGGACGTCGTTAAAAATTCATCGAGCGAACGCGATCGTCCCTGTTAATTAAAATACTCTCGTGATTAACGACCGTATCTGCGACGAGGGTCTTTTGGAGGAGCTTGGAGGCAGGACTCGTCGAAAACTCGCAAAGTTCCCGAAGCCGATGAAAATCCACCTACGTGACAATCGTCCGGGTTACGCGAGGAATATCGAAAACTTTCGAACGCGGCAAGAAACGCTGGAACACCTACGAAACTTTATATTGGTCGCGAAGGAAAAGAAGAAAGAAAGACATGGAGGATTGTTTTCCTCGTGGTGGCTGTTACCACGACGAGCAGCTGTTACCACCTCGAAACGGGGATATCGATAACATCGCCGATTCGGTGGATCGATCGGCGAGCAAAGGACCTACTTACCCGTTCAGCATTCACAGACATTGAAACAAATGGAAACTCACCAAGGCCGATGGACGAGGACGGCGGTGGCGGATAACGCGGACGACAGAAGCGTGTCGTTCTCGTTCTGGAGTTCGCAGAGTTCGCCGTTGAACCACCAGGTGAGCTTGGCAGCCGGTACGGCGTAGACGTCGCACTTGAGCGTGACGTTGTCGCCGTCGTAAGCCTCGATCCGGTCCGGCAGTTGGATCTGCGGCAGGCAAGCGAGCTCGATGACGGCCTTGATCTGTTTGCCGCGCAGTTTCGGTGGAGCGTCGCAGACCGGCTCGGACTCTTGTGGGGCGGCCGGCGCGGACTCCTTGAGCCAGGCCTGGGTCGCCTGGAGACGACAGTCGCAAAGCCACGGGTTGTTGTGCAGCGTGAGGCCCCGGAGGCTGCCGCCGAGCGGCAGCGTGTGATCGGGCACGCGGGTCAACCGATTGCCGTCGAGTCGCAGCCACTCGAGCAGGTGGAGGCCGTCGAACGACCCCTGCTCGATAGTGTCCAGCTGGCACTGGCTCAGTTCCAGGTTGGTCAGATGAGCCAGATGCTGGAACGCTCCGCGACGTATCACACGTATCGGGTTCCCGTTCAGCAGCAGCTTCATCAGGTTCGAGTAGGAGGGGAAGGTCTCGCTGGGCACATCCTCGATCAGATTCTCCGAGAGATCCAGCTCCACCAGACCCACCAGGCCGACGAACGCTCTGGCCGCGATCAGGCTGATGTGCGATCTGCTCAGGTACAGTCGTTGCAGATTGATCAGGCCGAGGGCGTGGAAACACTCCGGCGGCAGGCTGACCAGATGATTGTTGGAAAGATCCAACACCTGGGTCTCCTCCCTGGCACCTTGCGGCAGCCCCTTCAGGTCCCGGTTCGCGCACTCCACCCACTCTTTGCCGCTCTTCCATTTGCACGTGCACATGCTCGGGCAGCCCTCCACCGCCGAGGACGTCCACGACAACAGCATCATCGTGCCGAGAAGTGCCCCTCTCCACCACCAGGCTCGCACGCTCGAGCACATGGTGTTTCGTTCCCCCGAGAATCGTCCCTCTTTATTTCTATCTTCTCATGTTCCTGCTCGATCTCGTTTCAAGCTCTTTTGCCTCTTTGCTTCACCACCGTCCGCCGGCGGTCCTCTCTCCCCTCGCCGAAAACATCTCTCCTCGCCTCCTCGCCCTTGCGTTGCTGCTCCTCGTCAGACCGACGCGATCGATCCTCGATTCCCACTCTGAAACAACGGGACAATAATAACGGTCAATTCTTGTGAACGATCACTCTCTCGAATTGAGTAAATTCGAAGACGTTCGACGTTCGCGAACAACTCGCTTCTCGACTTTTTCATCTACATAATTTCGATCACGATCGACGTTTCTGCGAGCGGCAGAACTGACAATGCTCTTCGGCAACATTTTCGTAGCCTCGTAACGAACAAACGGTGTTTCATTTTAGGCAGCCACATGCCCGCGCCCGTGTTCCACCTTCGCGTACACGCTCTTTAAAACGATGAGGTTAACACCGTTCATCATCGTGCAGAATTTATGAGCTCGCAATGAACGTCCCGAAAGTAGGTCAGAAGGTTTCCATTAGCGCGTTATTTCCTTCCAAAACGATCTCGTTTCCATTTGCTGTGTCTGTTCGAGCACGGTCGAGTTGTTGTTTCACGAAACCCCCCCAAAAAACAAAAAAAAAAAAAAAAGGGAAGAAAGAAAATAGGACAGAGAAACGGAGGTGAAAATGACTCGACGTTTCATCGAAGACGAGGAAAGTGAGGCAAGGAAACGCCAGCCAGCTGTTCGGCGATTAATTAATAATATGCGGTACGAAAGCAACGAAGCCAGCAGCGAACCGTGTAATTGGTTGGAAATTCAGCGTTCGTGGCCTCAGCGTTGAAACAGACACCGTTGACGTTTCTGCGGGTCGGCGTTGATACTGTTCTCGAATTGACGTATTAATAATTAATCGCCCGACCTCCGTGATACATTTTGAACGAAGCATCGGGCCGCATACTAATCGACGCATCACGCCGCGTCGACGTTAAATCGCTCGCTCGCCCCCTTGAGCATCCCGTGCAAGCACGCATCGTGTACTTGGAAATTACGCGATGGTAGTCGAGCCGTTAATTCCAAGATACCTGATCCCCGGATCGCTGCAACGCCTTCGCGATCTCTTCGCATCGTAAAGGTGGAACTCGTCGTTCAGCTTGGCGAAATAATTATGTGATCGACGTTCACTGTAGCGTTCGAATCGACGAACGAACGAACGATTCCTTTTTACCACGGACTGTCAGTCGAACGAGTTTGGGGCGAAACGATGGGGTTTCTAATTTAAATCAGGGATCGAAAGTTGAAGAACTTTTTTTTTTAAATCGGTTCCACTCGAAACATGGATCGTAGAAACTTTTTCGAGGTATGTTCTTACTCGAATCGACGAGAACAGGCAAATGTTTTTCAAAAATAAAAGTTTCAGTCAGGGGAAGGGACTTGCATCGTAGAATATATAGAAAACAAGAATTCAATCGTCGATATTAAAAATATCTTCTCGACATTTGTGGCAAACATCGACACTGAAACGTTGTTAGATGAATATAACAGTGGATTCTTGATTAAATGTTTTAGAATGACTAGATTCCATGGAATTTTAGAATATTATTTCTAAATGCAACGCTTCTTTCGATTAAAAAGAAATAGACTTTTTTTTTTCATACAAAAAAATATACAAGTTTGAACAGAATTTTTTTTTTTTAAACGGAAACAGTCTGTTAATTTAAATTTTCGTTCAAACTCTATTTAAGCATTTATCTATTTCTTGCCATGAAATATCAATTGAAAGAGCTTAGAATTATTATTTGAAGTCCAAGGAAGGACCTTGACCAGTTTCAGTTCTCGAAACTAGTATCGTTGAACATTGAACCGTATAGCAATTTAGAGATTCGTTTAAATTTTGTTTAGACTTTTATCCAAACTCTCGCTTTAGAATTTTCAATTTCATTCACTAATTTCTAAACTGCGCACCCCTGTGCAACTTCCGGGGAATTTGAACGTGGAGAAATGCGCGTAACATGTGAAACTATGCAAATTACCACGCAGTTTGGCGTAGTTGGTGCAATAATGTTTAGCAAAGTAAATTTCTCTTTATATTTCTCTCCGCGAGAATGAAACGAAGAGCATTTCAGTTCGCAAAAAGTAAAATTCGCCGCTCGCTAAAAATACAAAATAAAATTTTGGTAACTTAACAAGTCACAGTGATCTTGTGGTTGTGGTTATCATAAATAATTGTGGAATGAATATACATAATGTTTGTATAGAATGATGAGTGTGCATATATAATTGTGGTGTGAGCGTTTGATATATTTCATGGTAGAAGAAAGAACGAATGACAGAGATGTATGCGAGAACAATTGAGTCCGAGCATGGTGACGAAAAAAAATAGTTATGATCGGGAAGCATGAGAGATGAGAAGCAAGAGTGAATTGATAAAAGAGTGAATCAATGAGAATTAAACGTTACATGTGTTTCATAATTTATATTAAATCTATCAATAATCAGTGTGTTTGTTATTCGATTCACTAACGAATCTATGATCCAATATTTTAAGAGTTAATTCGCCCGAATTTCTACCGATTAGAAGAGAAACGAAATCATTTCCCTAATTGGATATTCCCACTCGCAGATTTCGTCGTTTTCCACCGCGAGCATCTCGCCACGCAATCGAAATCGTTCGCAGGTTTAGGTTAGCCGAACGATAAAGACAACGCCGTGGTTCGTTCACTTCGACCGGCTGCATATTACATCGAATTCAATATTAACCTCGAGGAGGTGGGGTGAGAAAGCTCGCAACCGCGAAATCCTCGGATGAGGCCGGATTATCGAGCTTGTTGAATTTGCAAAGAGCGTTCCACCTCTGTGTCTTGGGGTTCTGCGAAAGCGCGATCGGGAATCCCACCCCGGCCTCTCGGTATATTTCATCGGAGAAATCTGACCCGCATTCGGCTGCGAAAAACTTGGGGGAAATCTTGGCGAGACGAGAGCTCCTCCGAGAGGTGAGTAGGGTTGAGACTCGACGACGAGAGTAGAAAAGTGTGTAGCCAGGGGACTTTGAAAGTAGTGGCAGAGCAGAGCGAAGGGAGGGGAAGGGGCTGAGAAACCGAAAGGGGAAGAGAAATGGGAGGGGGAGGGAGAAAAAAGAAGAAGGTTGCGTCGCGTTGCGGTGGAAAACTTGTCGCATAAACGAGAAGTTAATCCTTTTAGCCACTGTTTCTCGACCTTTGGCATTCCAAGCGAACGGCTCCTCGGCGGATATCGGGCGGTGGGTGGGAACTCTCGAGGTTTCGGGGAAACCGAGGCACGTTTGCACGGCGAATAAATGGAAATTGTTCCTTTCGGACGTGTTAAACCCAACAGCGTGGCAAATCCTCTTTGGCCGTGATATCGAGGTGCTTAAATCGACGGCCCATTAGCGACGTGGATAGAGGCGCCGGTCAAGGGTATCTGCTCTCGATATCCAGTGGTGGAATCGTTTTGCTCTTTCACGCGAGAAGAAGTATCGGTAGACAAAACGAAGAAGAAATCCTTTGTACGACATCGAGTGGATGGCGGAGGTCTTCATTTCACGTTTGGTAAACTGGAACAGGATCTCAATTCGATTGTGATTTTTAATAGAATTTCTTTTCGTGTATTTCTGCCGCACGAGCATGTCCGCGTAATTTTATCAAATACTACTTGCTACGTATTTATACTGCATGTATCGCTGCAACTGCTATTCTGCTACATTCTGTTGTATATTATACTATTACTATTTATATTGCTATTGTACTATTATTTATTTCTACTATTTATATTGTATTACACTATTACTATTACTATTAGAACAATTTTGTCCTCGGAAGTTTCTTGTACAACAGAAAGTTGATCCCACCCTGTATACACGTTCAGGTGTATTTAAATGTATAATACATTTTGAAATATTAAATAATGTTAAAATATTATTTAAATGTATTATTTAAGTATTGAAATATTGAACAGTATTTTAATATTTTAAATGCATCGTTTAATATTTTAACATATTTCAAATGTTGAAATTAAATATCACATCATGCCTGTATAGCGTTGCATTATAAAATACACACGCAAGTTAAATATTGAATGTCAAGTGAAAATGAATACAACGTCGAAAATTTCTTTTGTGTGTGTGTGTGTGTGTGTGTGTGTGTGTGTGCTGTGGAATTTTCGTCATCTAAGATTCTAACATTCAAAGTTCGATAAAACAGCGAAAAAGAAATCGTACATCAAGTTTTCGAGGAGATCGTTACAAAGGAGAGGACTCGATCTTCAAATTTAAATTGTAAATCGAGTCACGAAAGAAATATTTCAACATATTTAGATGCTACGAAAATAGCATTATCGAGAAAGAAAATGTCTTCACTCTCTCAACCACTATAAAACTGCAAGAACGTTTGCGAAAATAGAGGCTTTAGGACGAATTCAAGTATCTCCCTTGTATTTTTCACTTTCCACGTTTAAATATTTAGCGTTCGAATATCGATGTGTTTGAAATCACAATCTCGGGCAAAAAAAAAAAAAAAAGAAAAGAAAAGAGAAAAGAGAAAAAGGCAAGTAGTCGAAAACTATCGAACAACCGTGGTATACCTGGCGAAATGAGGTGTATCGGCAAGAAACGGCGCGAGATCGTTGATTGGCGAAAGAAGTCACGGACAACCGCGAGCGGATGAGAAGACGACGAAGGGATAACAAATTCCATAGAGAAGCGAACGTGTGCATCCTGACGGGAAAGACGCCGCGTCGGAAGAAACACTCCTGGCGTGGCGTCGACCGATATCAGGATATCGGAATATCGAGCGGCCGCGCGGCCGATTCGGCATGCAAACCCTACGGTTTTTCATGGCTTTATTCCAGCGTGGCCGCGTTCAACGAGGTTTTTCACCGGTGCCGGTGCAAAAGCCAGGCCTCGAGGATATTGCCCGCTCGACATTTCGAATCCAATATCCACTATCGCCACTTTTTTCCCTCGGCAATTCCGACGATGGTCCTTCTAACGCACTAACGTTCCCTCCCTCCTCCCTGCCAGCCCCTGGCGGGCCGATTCAGCTGACTACACGAGAGAAAGAGAGAGAGAGAGAGAGAGAAAGAGAGCGAGAGAGTATCTAAGAATATCCAGAGCTTTTTCGATCTAGAGCCGTGTTCACAGTGCAAACTCGCCTAGCGAGATTTA